AAGACTATCCCTGGTGGCCCCTAAGAGAAAAAACTCCAGGAGGAAGAGAGTTTCCCCAGTTTCCTTTGGGGAAACGACCTCTCCCACTGTATAGAACACTGTGAGACTCTTATTGTGGGACTCTTATTCAAACAGGCTGTTTTTTCTATCAAGCGTATGGCCCAAGACCATTTGGATCCTCCCTGGAATGTGAATTCTGAATAGAGCTGGAGTCTGCTCATTTAAGTGCAGTCCCCAGGGGAGGGTGCAGGGCAGTTTCTGAGCTGTCATTCTGAGTTTACTACTCCCTGCCCTTTCAACTAACTCCACTTTGGCATCTGCCAGCCAAGTCTGTGGGATTGCGTGCCGCTGGAGAGTCCTGCTGGTATCCTAACTCTCCTGTTCACTGTGAAGTGAGACGAGATGAAAGATGGGGAGCTAACTACGAAGTAATATCTAAATAAAAGGATGTTAAGGAGTCTATATCTAAACAGCCACTACTAAATGAAAAATCAAAGCATGCAAAAGTACTTCCAAAACATAAAACACATCTGAAAAGGAAGGTTAAAAAAATAATTAATGTAAAGCATGACCCTTGCCTTACTAGAAAAAATAAAAAAAAGCTAATTATACTTTTAAGTCCTCCTTCCTTCCTTCTTCCTTCTCCTCAACCAAACTGAGGTCTAGGCCAGATAAAAATCTCATGACTTCTTTAAAGACAATAATTACTGTGATTAAGGGCCAAGTTTTCTGTCAAGTCTTTCATTGGTAAACCAAAAGTGACCACTTATGCGACTAAAGGTATAATTACACATGCAATCCCAAAACAGAAACATAAATATCTAGAGTGGAATAAGTTAGCTATGTATGTAATTTTAGGTTTTATGATGAGTGAGTCTGTAAAAGCGAAAGGTTTTTAACTTTGGAAAAAGTCTGGCCCTTGTCTTATAACCATCTGCTAAGCATCAACCACTTAGCTTCTCAGGCCTAGCAGTTAACTCAGTTTAAACCAATCCGAAATAAAAACTGAACTCCGGGCTCTTGTGTCAATGATAGAACACATGAAAATTTCCAAGACTATCCCTGGTGGCCACTAAGAGAAAAACTCGGGGAGGAAGAGAATCTTTCTGGATAATACGACGAAGACGGGAAAAAAAGAAAAACTTTTGGGAATCAGAGTGGGATATTCTCCAAGAAAGTTGGGAAGAGTTAAGAGTAGGAAGCTGCTCTCCTTCTGCACAGATGCAAAGAGACTAAAGGGCTGTACGGCTCTAAAGGGCTCTGTAAGACTAGCAGGGAAATCCCGTTTCTGTTTTACTTAAGACTTAACCACACAAGCCTAGAACTCAAAGGGAACATCACGTTTAAATACTAATTAGATGGAGCACCTTTACTCTTAGGCCTGAAAACACACTTTGGAAATGTATTTTTCAGCAAGTCTTGGACCTGATAATTCAAGCTTTCTTTCATCAAGCTCTGTGGAGACTAGTGACATGAATTTTACTCATCTGTTCCTAATTTAGGTCCCTGTTACTGCTATGAAAATATATGGGACATAGGAAGGTATATAAACTTGGGACGTATATAAACTCGGGTATAAACTTGAGTGTTCGCCTGATGCCACTATGACAAAATAAATTCCACCAGGAAAATAGCCACTTAAAATATCTTTGATGTCCAGAATGAGAAAAGAAAGGCTAGATCAAAACTTTCCGGATAGTGAATTAGGATGGCTCGTGACAGGTGGTGTTTATTTATAAACCTCCCTCTGGGGCTTCAAAATGGGGAGACTGAAAAGAAATAATTTTTTAAGTTAATTTGTTAAATTACCCGCTCTTCAATCTTGATGCTGTTAACTAGGCGGCTTCCAAAGACCTTTTGCTTAAACGAATGCTCGTGTTTTCTCTATTCTTGGTAGAAATTGGCTTAATCACATTACTCTCCTGTACATGTCACAGCGGATCTATAAACTCCGGTAATAGATTCACTGCTTTTCAAATAATACACTTAGAGTCAACACTTGTTTATGAGGCAGGCCAAGATGCTTTCAGTGGGGCCGACAGTACCTTAAATGCCACCTGGATGATCTCCTCTGTGTTGGCAGGGTTGCACAAGACAGCCAGGCCAATCACGTACTCTCGGAAGTCGATACTGCCATCATGGTTCTGTGAAAGGAGGGGAGAAATCAATTAGGAGGGCCGCTGGTGGAATTGCTATTAATTATACCACATCAGGAAATTCAGTATGGTATACAGTTCAACATCAGTATGCACTGAGCCTATTTGGAGAAAAGTTCTCATTGAGTTGGGACAGCAAGAAAGTGGCCCCTCCATTCCCTATTCAGAAGGAAGAAGAATATATCTTCTGTGCATCAATAAATATATATATTTTTAACACTGGCACCATTTAGAATGGTCCCGGGGCACCCAGTGTGGGTTCTTGAACTCAGCCTTGCTTGATGGGAGTCCTGCTGGGAGGCTTAATATAGGATTCTCCTCTTTGGTGGGACTGAAGCATTTGTCCCTGCCATAATGGGTGACATGAAAGGGTCATTAAGAATTCTAAAGGGCTACTAAGCAAAGGGAAGGGAAAGTAAAGGGAAAATCACAACTGAGGCAAAATCACGACATTCATTCTTTTTCTTTTTCTTTTTTGAGACAGAGTCTCAAGATGTGGGC